ATATAGCATCAGAGAATGAGATATGATATGAAATGAATGAACATGATTGAGTATGAAATTGTAAGATAAGCGAATAACTCAACATCAGAAATGACCTCAGTAGGTCCCAACAAAATAAGCATGTAGCCTAGATATGATTTCTAACATGGATCACAACTCAATAGCTCTAGTACGTAGAGATTTCATGGTTACAGATAAGATCAGGTAACTACACAGTACCACAGAAATAATGGAGTCACAATTCACACGGTGCACGCCCACACGCCTGTCACCTAGCATGTGCGTCACCTCAACACCAAACACATAACACGTAATTCGGGGTTTCATACCTTCAGCACCAAGTTTAGAAGTATTACTTACCTTGAACAAGCCAAATCCAATACCGAGCAAGCCAAACGACGCTCAAATAATTCTATCTCGCACGTAATGACCGTTGAACGGCTCGAAACTATCTAAAAGTAACTAAAATACATTAAATAATGCCAAAGGAAACAACCGATCAATAAAGGTCGAATCTTTAATCATAAGTCCAAAATGAGCCAAAGCGCCAAACCCGGGGCCGTATCTCGGAACCCGATGAACCTCACAAAATCCGACAACCCATTCAATTACAAAGTTCAACCATACTAGTTTCACTCAAATCCGACTCTAAATCGATATTCAAATATCAAAAAATCATTTTTATGAAACTTTTGACAATTCCTACGATTTCTCTTTAAAAATTAATAATCCAATGCCGAAAACGAAGATTAATTCATGAAATATAATCACAAGTGAGTCAAGAATACTTACCCCCAAGTTGAGTAAAAAAATCCCTCTCCAAAATCGCCCAATCCGAGCTCCAAAATTCGAAAATGAGAATAACCTCAAAACCCACGATTTTATCTTCTGTTGAGGCCTCTTCGGATTTGCGTAAAAACTCTCGCATTTGCGAGCTAATTCCCGCCTCTGTGGATCCACAATTAACAGCCAGCCCTCGCACCTGCGGAACTTCTTTCGCTTCTGCGCAATCGCATGTGTGAGCCAAGGGTCCACATCTGCGTTCTTTCCGCTTGTGATGTCAGCACCACCGCACTTACGATGTCGCAGGTGCGCAAAATACCTGCTTCTACGGCCTCACACTGCAATTCCGTTTCTACGCCTTCAGCTTTGCACATGCGGCCATCACACCTACGTCCAGTGTTCCGCAGGTGCGACCACACCAGAACAGACCTGTCTAGCCTTAACAAAATGATCTGAAACGATCAGAACCTCGTCCGAAACTTATCCGAGCCACTCGGGATCCCGTCGAAATATACCAACAAGTTTCGAAACATAACACAGACCTACTCGAGGCCTCAAATCACTTATAACAACATCAAAACGACAAATCACACCTCAAATCAAACTTAAAATGAACATTAAACTTTCAACTTCCAAAACTCGCGTCGAAACATTACAAATCAACTCGGAATGAACTCAAATTTTGCACACAAGTCCCAAATGACATAACGAAGCTATTTCAATTTTCGGAACCACAATCCGAATATGATATCCACAAAGTCAACTCTCGGTTAAACTTATGAACTTTCCAAACCTTCAAATTTTCACCTTTCCCCAATTAGTGCCGAATCCTTCTAAAAATACCCAAATGCAAATCCGGGCATACGTTCGAGTCCAAAATTACCATCCGGACCTAACGGAACCATCAAAAATGGAGTTTTGGGATAAATTTACCAAAAGTCAAACTTAGTCAACTCTTCCAACTTAAAGCTTAAACCATGAAATTCATTCTTCCAAATCGATTCTGAATAACTTGAAAATCAGAATCGACGATTCACATAAGTCATAATACATCATACGGAGCAACTCGGGCCCTCAAACTATCGAGCGAAATGCAAATGCTCGAAACGACCGATCGGGCCGTTACAATTGATCTATACATGATAATACTAATATAAAAAATATTTTAAAACTACTGAGAGAATAAATCTTTCCTTAAGCAAAACTCTCTAAAGGACTACATTGTGGATACTTTTCTATGTTCTAGTCCAAAACTTTTTGCCCAGTACGAGGAATGACCAAATATGGAAGAGAATTATTTTTTTTTTAGGAAAAGTAAAATCAATTATGGTAATACTTTGACTTTCCATTAGGCTTTAAGAGAAAAGTAAAACTCAAATATGGTAAGAAAATCAGGACAAAAATCCTAACAAATCTTCCTTTTTTGGCTTGATTTTCAATTCACCTTCTTCACTGCTGCGTGACATATTTTAAAAATGGAACTTTTGCGAGTTAAAGTATTGTAGCCCTTTCGGGTTAAAAGTTTTGTAGCCCTTTGCACTGTTAAAAGTAATCCCTTTGTAGGGTTAAAAATAAGTTTTAGTTTTAAAGATACAACAATAATATTTTTGAAAATATAGTTGAAAATTCATCTCCACATATAGAGTTTCAGGTTTTTTTAAAACTTATTTGATAAAAAATCTTCATTATCGTCAATAGGCTACAACTTGATCTGAATTTGTTTTGTACTTATTTTTAACCTCGTTGAACCATTGGCTCTGATACCACTTGTTGGGATCGAAATAATCAGGGCATCATGCGAAAACTAACAATTACTACAAATCTTCAACAATAAATCAGATGACAAAAAAATAAAAAAAATATTATTATATGATATGAGTTTCTTCAATTGATCTACACATGATAATACTAATATAAAAAAATATTTTAAAACTACTGAGAGAATAAATCACCCATTAAGCAAATTTTCTAAAGGACTACATGTAGATATTTTTCTTTGTTCTAGTCTAAAACTTTTCCCCCAAGGTAAGTAATAATTAAATACGAAAGAGAATTATATTTTCCTTTCAGGAAAAGTAAAAGCAATTATGTTAATATTTTGACTTTTCTTTAGTCTTGAAGAGAAAAGTAAAACTCAAATATGGTAATAAAATGAGGGCAAAAACCCTAACAGAATCAATGCCATAAGAGTTTACGACCCTAGTTATAAAATTTAGCTACTCATATTAAAGATAAAAATTATAAGCTGAATTAAGAAGATAAATATAATTAAAGACTAAATGGGTAAGAAAACTCGATCATTTGGAGATTAACGTGCTTATTAACCCAATGATCAATAAACATGGTAAAACCAACATATATGAGGATTAGATCACGGTAGGGTTCGTCTGGCAGAGAGATAAAATCTTGCATTAACATAATAATGCCAGGCCTCTAGTTTTCTTTTCTGTATGACTAATACTTGCATAAGCTTTCCTAAAACATATATCTTTCATTATACAGAATAAAAGGTGCAATAAAAATGAGAGTATTAACAAATTATTGATTAAAGTAATAAATTACAACACTAACTCTCATAATAGTAAACAAGCTTCTTATTTGTTTAAAAAGTAGACATATATTTTTAAATTATACAATATACATCAAGCAAGACCTACAACAAAAGATAATTTCTACTCCCTTCATCTCAAATTATTTGTTGCGATTTTTAAAAATAGTTGTCTCAAATTATTTGTCATGTTAGAAGTTCAAGACAAACTTAATTATTTTTTTCTATTTTACCCTTAGTAGTAATTGTTCTTGAAAACTATAAACACCTCAATTATAGGGTAATATTATGATTGTTCAAATTCCAATACGACATAAATAAGGGTAAAATAGTCAATTCTAATTATTATTTTCTTAAGGAACACGATACATGATTTGTGACAGAGGAAGTACATTACATGACCCTACGTTATTAATCATTGTAGTATGATTTCTGAATTACTATTGCGTTATAAATCTCTTTTGCATAACTTAATCTCTAAACTACGGGAGTGCATGGTCCTTTACAATTTAAGTTTACACGGAGTGAATAAAGTTGAATAAGGTGTATTAGTAATGAAGGGATTATTAATACATGGGTTAGTAATGCAAAGATTATTTCTTATCCATTATTTGATGTGGTATATTAAAAACTAAAATGCATTGCATAATTTTTAAGAAAATTAATTATTTACAAAAATGCCCTTCATATTCTCTAGCTTTAAGGGACTTTAAGGATAATTTTATCTTTAATCATGGTAATGCATGTATTAATAGCTTTGGTATTGCCAATACTATGATTTGCTATGTATTAGTTATACATAGTATAATACCAAATATGTTGTATAAGTAATACTTGCACTAATACATAGATTAAAAAAGTATACCAAATAAGCAGTGCCGATCCAAGGGTAAAGCTGCTAAAGCAGCTGCTTTGGGCCTCATAATTTTTGGGGCACCAAATTTTTTCTAATAGGTTATATACAGAGGCAGATTCAGGATTTAAATTCTATGGGTTCAATTTTTAAGATTTTTAACATTGAACCCATTATATATTTAAAGTTATAGGTTCAAATCTATTATTTTTGTAATTTTAATAATTTTTTACACATAAATTTCTACTCCACGTCGAAAGTTATGGGTTCAATTGAACCCGTAACTCTCACACTGTATCCGCTTTTGGTTATATATTAATTTATTTTTAGAAGAATATTTTGTGTTTTAAATGAGAAAGTATAAATTTTTATAGTAAAAAAGTAGGATTAAATTGTTGATCATAAATTGAGAAAAAATATCTTTTTGGAAATCACTCTCTAGACCATAAATTGAGAAAGGATTCGATTATTAATTCATAACTCAAAAAAGGTTAAAATCTTAATACAGTCCACAACGTGTATATCTCAAGAGAAATTAAATGGATTAGATAAAATTATTAATACCTTTGCATATAAAAAACTAGAAATATAGAATTTAAATGAAATTATATATGATTTTTTTTTTTATATAAAAAAAGGCCCATTATTGAAATTTTGCTTTAGGCTTTTATATTTATTGAGCCGCCCCAGCAAATAAGGTATTAGTAATTCCAAAAGTCAATGGATACATTATTTTCGCCTATGCATCGTATCGAACGACCCCTAAACGGGGAAATATTCGTATTTTATGATGTAGCTATAAAAAGAAAACTTGCACCACACGTGTTAATACGAAAAGCGTGCCAACTACTTTCGCCGTCATCGCGTTTTGACGTTTCCGTCTGAAATTCCCAGAAGGCAAAAACCGCCATTGAAACATTTCGACAAGCTTGAATCTCTAATTTAAGCTTGAACAAAACTCTCAGAAGCTCGTACGAAAACAAGTCCAATACTGTAGTAATGAAGAGTTTATTATCATTAGGGAGATTGATAAATCGATCGACTCTCCGCAGCAGCAATAGATTGTTAACAAAACCCTATGTAGCAGAAAATGGTGCAATTTCTGCATCTCGTCGCTTCTTATACGCTTTATCTTCCAAAGCGCCCATTAATTTATCTGATTTCACTTCGTTAAAGCCTTCGCAATTCCCTTCTTCTCATTCCTCCCCATGGAGCCACTTCGGAGGTCAGTTTTTCTAATATTCAGCTAATACCTTTTCTTTTTCAGAATTGTCACTTTAGAAGTTTTAATTAAACTTAAAAAGATAAATTTGTGTGTATTGGTATGGAAACGAGCCCGAATATAGCGGAATGGATATATAGGATTCATATAGCTCACTAGTTTGATATTGAGGCTAGTATACTTTGATGTGCAAATGTATATGTATATGAATTTGTGTGTAATGTGTCTTTTGCTAATTGCTACTCCTATTACCTGCTGGTACTGTTGGTTTTAGCTGGATATTTTTTTTTGATTTACTGGAAACTTTAGGGGCAAGGAACAAGAGATGATGCTGTTTTTGACTCTTTGTGTCGAATGTTTTCAGAAATGTAAGATCATTTGGGACTGTTGATTGAGCAAAGGTGGTGCATTTTTTTAAATTTTGCTGATAAACTTGATGAGGTTCATAGTTAACATTTGGACAATAGAAATAGAAGAAATGGGGGAAAATGCTGCTTCTTTATGTGATTTGCATATATAAGCAACTAAAAAGGTGGCATCTTTCCTAAGAACAAGAAAGTTTGTTCAAGAAGCTAAAAGCTTTGTAGTTTACATAATTGTTCTAGTAATTGCCTGATGAGATAAACAGGCATGCTAACTAATAAATTATGTTAATACGACTGTATTTTGATCTTGTATTTGGTATGAACAGGCCAGAAGAGGACCATGTTTATCCAAACTCAATCAACTCCTAACCCTTTATCCCTTATGTTCTATCCTGGGAAGCCGGTTCTGGAAATTGGGAGTGCAGACTTTCCAAATGCTCGTTCTGCCATGAATTCACCGCTGGCAAAGGCTCTCTTTGGGATAGATGGTAATTCTCAAAACTTAGATGGTGAAAAGCCTTAGACATTTAACATCTATGTTAGAACCTTTATATTGAAAACATCGACTCCTTAGTGCATTGCAGTGGAAATGTGCAAGGATATGTTTATAATACTAACATTCTTCACACTGCCATGGAAGAAATGCGGAAGAAATATGCTTAACTTGGTGCAATTACATAATTTCAACTGTCGACATGGTACAGAGCAGCATTTAGGCTGTTAGAAAAATTGTTGTCATTTTTATCTAGCTGACTTGCTGCATAGTGCATTCAAATTTGAATCAAGGTAGTATCAGATACATCTGAATTTGTGAAATTACAACCATCTAGAGTTTATTTGCTGTCTCATGTCTGAAATAGATATAGGCATAAGCTATCACTATAATAAGGAGTGGTTGTGAGAACTAGCTATTCTTTCAAGATATCACATTACAGTATTACTTTATTTTGCTAGAAGGCCCATTCTTTGTCCAACTTGCTACCCTGCAATCACAAATTGATTTTTCCTTTGTTATAATTGTTTTGACGTCTTCATCATGGATTGTGCAAAACTGAGTGTTGCTTATTGGTTACTGAAGCCACAGACATTGTTATTAGCTTTTGTAATGTAAAGTACTGAAAATAACTGAGGTATGTTTCCTTGTAGTGGGAAGAGTAGGGGGATGACTGTTTGGAAGGTATGTAGAAGTGAATTACTTGATAGAAGCAAAAAACAGTATGGAAAAGAGAGCTTTTGGAGTGGACTGAAACCATATAAGCTTCAGGGGAATCTTTTTGTCAGGTTGAAAGAAGAACACTTTTACCGAGTCAAATAATAGATGCACACTGGTAAATGATGTTTAGATCATTAGACTTTTATCATCATCATTGAAATCCGCTATTCAATTGCAGTGCGGTGCTCTCAAAATTCATTAGAAAAAAAAGAGTTTTGTGTCTCGGGGGAACAAATAGGCATGGGGAAGAGTTGTGGGG